ACACTGTTGGTGCTATTGCAACTGCATCTGATAAAGGTACCCTTTTTTTTAAATTCATATTATGCTTAAATGCATCAATTGAACAGATTTGATAGATTAGACAGAGAACTAGAAACAGCAGGTAGTGTTTTCTTTGGTGATGGACAAACATAATGAATTCAATTCTTTGTTGATTAGGGTTGAAATAATATTCCATAGATTTTTAAAGACACAAGTTGGATGGTTACTTTTCAAGTTGAGTGAGCCCTTGAGCCTAATGGTTTACACTAGCAGAGCTCAACGTTTTCCCCCTGAGTGATTAGCATCCAATTTCTCATAACAATATCATCCTTGAGTCAAATATTTAGGTAACAAGAATAAAGTAAATAATCAAAAACTAAAGAAGCTCTTGGGTTAGGCTAACCCTAACCCTGAAGTCACCAGGGTTTTGTTCTTCCACCTGGTTAACCCTCAGCCTTATGTCAATTTTCCTCAACAGTTCCAAGTTACCCATTCACTGATTCCATCCCTACTCCTCAGTAAAATAATATTTTCATGCATTTTAGTGCCTTTGAAAACATTTTTTTGCAGGTGGCATTGTGTTGATATCAGGGACTGGCTCTAACTGTCAAATGTTGACGCCAAATGGTCAAACATTCAACTGTGGTGGGTGGGGTCATATGATTGGTGATGAGGGATCAGGTAAATTTTAAAGGAATCAACTAACCTATGATTACTATGACCTTGTTATGTGCTAATCAATTTGAAGCTTTAACACTCAACAAAGGAGTTTATTTGTTTGTTTGTTTTTTTTGTAGCATTTTGTATATCACACATGGCCATCAAAGCAGTGTTCAATGCTGAAGATGGGCTGGTACCCCCGCAGCATGACATCACTTACGTAAAGAAACTGGTTTTTGATCATTTCAAGGTATGAAAAAATACACAGGTTCTTTAACAGACCTATATCATTGTTTAAACCTCTACAGTATGATGTTCTCCATACTGCTCTCTATACATTTCCTAAGGTGCCGACAAGGAGAATTTGTTTAACAATCAA